CTCATTCCACATGTGTTTCTGTGTTGAGATTTCCAGATCAGTTGGGCAGGATGACTCCCGTGTTGCAGGGGCTAAGTGGCTTCCTTCACGTGACGTGCCCTGCTGTGGCTGTCTCCATGTGGAAGTTTTCACCTGGTTTGTCCTGAAGGCAGGGTGCAGCCCCAGCGTGGCCCTGAGAGAGACAGTAAGTAACTTCCGGTAAGGTCAGCACTTGAGAAGCTAGCCACGTAGAATCAGGTAACTGAGAACCTATTCGGAAAGAGCTCCACTATTCTGCTAGCTTAGGAAGAGACTAGAAAAGGAAACATTAATAACATTCAGATTAATACTAATAGAGAAGGAAGGAAACTGTATAGAGAAACAAGAAAGAGTGGAGGGAGCAGAGAGCTAGAAGAAGGTACTGAGGGGATGGGAAAAGCTGCGGGAAGGAGGGGAACCTGATGGACGTGAGAGGAGAGGTCCTGACACTGCCGAACTGAGAGCCGGGTCAGATTCCCTGAGGAGGAGGCTTCGGTGTGGGGTCAGTGGCCAGCGCAGTGCTGTGAGCTGCAGCAGAAAGCTAATCTAGGCGCTGCACCCACGAGGACGTACGTAAAAGCCCGAGCCTTATTTTATAGGAAAAATACCAATACACAAGCAAAAGAGCAAAAAGAAAGACGATAAGGGCAATATTTTTTTTTAATTAAGGAGAGGCCCCCGGTCCTGCCCTGTTGGCCAGGTTGAGACCCCAGAGCGGTTTGTCTCCCTGCTGCCCAGCCAGGAGCCTCTGGTGACCTCAGGGATGGGGGCAGCATGCTGTTGCTCTCCCGGGGCCTCGGCCTCAGGCTTCCAGGCCGTGAGCTGACTCAGCCTCTGACGCTCACCGGGTCTCCCTCCCGCCATGGATTTCAGTGTAGTCCAGGATCAGGAAGGGACAGGGATGGCCCGGGTCACCCTGGCAACAGTGGATGCTAGCGGGTCCACCCACCCGGTCCTCAGTGTCCCTGCTCAGGTCCCCCGTGAACCGCTGGCCTTGGCGGGCCCCGGGGCTGGTGGTGGCCAGGCTGAGCACCATGGGGTGGCCAACCGTGGGCCTCTTCCTGGGGGCCAGGCACTGGGCTGTCTGCTCCCATTTCTGATTTCTCCCACACTGGCCCCTCTGGGCCGTGTCCCCGAGGCAAGTCTCTCCCGCCAGGGCAGCCCTGACCCTGCAGACCCCGTGCGCATCTCAGCATCTGGATGCCTCCTCCTTGCGTCCCATGCTGTCTGCCGGAGGTCGCTGCACACTGTTTGGTGTCCTGCGTTCTGACTGTGACCTGAGGTGAGGCTTGGGGTTTTCCACTCCTGGTATCTGGTCAGCACTCAAACTCTGGCAGATGGTGAAGCATTTCCGACTTGGGGCTTTGGACTAAACTGTCACTGTCTCCTTTGTCCAGCTATTCAGGAACGGGAGAAATGGGTCTCACAGCTTTCTTACCCATGCTGTGGCCGCTCTCTATGGACCTCAGTCAGCCGCAAGGAGCAGCTTGTGCTCAGTTACTCGAGCTGTGTTGTTCAGCGTGAATGTGGGTGCCATCAGCCAGCTTTCCCGGCAGCCTATTGTCATGGGACCTGCTGAACAGGACAGCTGTCCCCAGGGCCAGGCTGAAGTCCAGCACAGATGCTGGGGTCCTGTGCCACCTCTCACAGCCCTGACATCCCCCACGAGTTCTCCTGGTCACAGCAAAACATGACGAGCATTTAAAACACAAGCTATGGGGTTTGTCTCTCTCTTGTTCCAAAAACAAGGGACTTCGTGGGGTCTGGTTCGCTTTATTAAAAAACACATTAGTGAATAAAATTATTTGAGACCTAGGAAACTCAGAATCTAGAGCCATCTCTGAGTGCAGAAGTTTTTTGCCATAAAATTCCTTAAGATGTATGCTTTGTTTGCACAGGGTAGACTTCTCCGCAAAACTTTTACATCTTCCCCTGGTATTTGTTCACTGGCAGAGAAAGAACTGATTCCAGAGCTGGCTAGGCTGCCTTAGGAACTGCACTCACATGCAAATGGATCTGCGTGACAACCTGGGTCCAAATGGCAGCTGAAGTCCAAACTTCTGCAAGGGAGTCTGAGGCTGAAGGGAAGGAATGGACAGGGATGCTTGAGTCACTCTCCCAGTGTCACCTCCCCTGCGCCAGTGAGCCCGTGTTTGACTTCTGGGCTGTGAAATGGGCTTCGGGTGCAGTTTCTCCTCGGTTCCCAGCCCCTCGGTCTCCCACTGTGGTGCCCAGGGCTGAGCCCCTCAGTGCTTGGGAGAGGCGGTCCCCACTCCGCTCTTGGGGTGAGCACGGCCGGCCCCAGCGCCTCGGGCCCATGGCCAGGAAGCACATCAGGAGCTCAGTGCATGACACAGCAATCGCCTCGTGGCCTGGGTGCGAGGGAGGAAGAGGAGGAGGCTGGGTCTCAGTGCCCCTTCAGGAGCACAGCCCCGTGGCCAGCAGGTTCCTGCTCGAATGAGCCCCACTGTACGCTGGGCCCTTGAGGTCAACAGCTGCACCTTGGAGGGCTGGACTCAGACAGAGCCAGGCTAGGAGTCCAGGCCAGGCTGGTGGCTCCCACGCAGTCTTTTTTTTTTTTTAATCTAGGGATTGAGCCTAGCACTTTCACACTGGTCTATATCCTCAGCCCTTCAGTGTTAGTTTTATTTTGAGACGGGGTCTCGCTAAATGGCCCAGGCCGGCCTGGAGCCCTCGATCCTCCTGCCTCAGCCTCCTAGACCCCTTGCACAGGTTCCTCTGAGCTGTAAATCATTGGTGGCTTCATTCTGCTCACAGCCTCCCTCTGTTATGCCCCCGGGATATTTTATTGTGTTGGTTTTGCTTTTTAGACCGTCGGGTGGCTTCCCACCTCATCATATAGTCCCTAAACCCCCAGCTGTGAGAGTGAGCACCCTAGAGGGGGTATTTCAGCCCTAGGTTTTGGACACAGGTGGGGTCAGGGACACGTAACATGCTTTTCCTCCCGCCTCTGCTGCTTGGCATTTAAAGCTCAGTCAGGATGGTGTCAGGGTCCTTCTGAAAGCTACTCAGTATTACTTTGGCTGTGGAGTAAGAAAAAGAGGAGATACATTATTTCAATAAATTCTGAACTATTTGACCACAGAATATTACAGAAAGGGAAAAGCGAGACTATTTCACTGCTTTTCTGTAATAATGTAGGAAAGGTGCCACCACATTTTTCCGAGTGTCTTGCAGTTCGGGCATGGAGTGGTCTGGTAAAAGTGAAGGCTGAACACAGTGCTCCCACCGAGACACTCAAAGAAGAGACAGCAACAGCTGGTCCACGGTGTCACGGAGGCCCCAACTGCGGCCCGCACCAAGTGGCACCGCGCTGGCCTGGCTGAGCTCAGGAACTCCGTCCTGCCCTGACATCCCTCTCAGAACTCTCCTGTTCTTCTTTTAAGACTTTTGAGATGCCTGTGCCAGAAGTCTGTGTGCAGTTTTAGTCTGTGACGACCTTTATGGATAAATACTGCAGAAAGACTGCCTATTGATTTGTCGTTAAGATTTACTACGCCCACTCCCCTGTGATGCCTCACTCTGGCCATTTCTCAAGCTTGCTTGGGGGCTCCGGATCCAGGGCTGCTGCTCTCAGGTTTCTCATCCAGCTGTTGATTAACCCACCTTGGTGTGCTTCCCTGTAGGGGAGCCCCGTCTCCTTCTACCATCTCTCCTGGAACTGACTGTCAGCGAGCTGGAGAGCAGCGTCCTTCTCCGTCAACGTTTGCCATCTTCAATCAGAGGGACCAAATCAAAATTTTAAACCATTATTCAAAATTCACGGAACTAAATATAAAAGATATAAATAAGCTTTCAAATGCACTGACTTCCAATACACCTTCTCTGTCTTAAACATCCACAAAAGTAAGAAACTCACCACTTTGCTTTACCTCACTGCCTCTTTAAACCCCACATTTTGTACCTTTTATATTCTGGAAGGGACCAGGGCCCTGCTGCCTGCTCAGGCGCCGGGACCCTGCCCCTTCCTGTGGGCCTGCGCCCCCTGCTGGCCGGCGCTGCTCAAGGCGAGCCCTGGGTGCCAGCAGGTGGATGCGCGTCGCCAGGGAACACATGTTGTTTTGCTGGGGTTGCCTGGCAACAGATGCTTGCGCTGCCTGGACTGACAGGCGCTGAGCTACCGGTGGCTTCCTCCGCTGCTCCCCAAGAGCCAGCTACCATTCTAGATCCCAACCCAAGGTTCAAAGTACAAAAGAGGATCCATTTCCCAGACTAGAATAGCAAAAAGCAGGATTACTGTATAAAAAGCAGCCGTTTGGGGGCCAAGGATGTAGCTCAGAGGTGGAGCCCTGCCCAGCATGCATGAGGCCCTGGGTTTGATCTCCAGCACTGTTGAAAAAAACTGTTTTGTAAAGGTACCTTGAGCTCCTACCTGATCCTCGACTAAGACTGGCTTTGCACTTTTCATTGCCGAATAAGGAGGGTGCTTTTGTGTCTCTGAATACTGTGTCTGTCACTTAGGGTGCTGAGGCCACACTCTGCCCTTCTCACTCGCCCCTTACGCCCTTGAAATGATGGTGACAAGAGGCCCTGCCATTTAGGATTACTGCAAATATAAATAGATTACTCCACGGACAAGATTAACCCGGCGCCAGCCTCCGTCGTGCGTCGTCGCAGCACGGGGTGCTAAGGGTCGGCCTGGGTGTCCGTGCTGCCTTCCTAGCCCCTCTTCATCCGGTCCCTCCCCTCGGGGAGGCTCGGGGTCCGTCCTCGGAAGCTAAAGGACAGGCGCCAGGACCCGTCCTGCCCTCATCCGGCCACAGCGTCCCGTGGGAACACAGCACCTCTGTCCCCCAGCCTCGGGCTCGGTGGGCTGGGTGAGGAGGCTCAGAGGTGGCTGGGCCGGGACAGCCTTGCGAGGACAAAACAGGCAGGTGCCTCGGGCCCGCCCTCATCGGATATGCAGGACTTCGGGCCTCGGCCCCGCCCCTTATTTAATATGCATGATCCGCGGGGCCTCCCGGAGCGCAGCGCAGCGCGCAGACAGCTCAGGCTCCGGCGCGGGGCAGAGGCGCGGGCGGCCGGGATCTTAGCACCGCTAGTAAGCGCTCCTCTGCCCTCCCCGGAGCAGACGCGGACCCGACCCTTGGCCGAGCTCGTTGATCCGTCCCGGGATCCGAACCCGCCCGAGCGAGCGCACCGCCCCGGGGGTCCTTGCGTGGTGTCGGGTGCGCGGCGCGGGGGACCCGTCCCGGGGGGCAGACGGCGGAGCGCAGGGCGGGAGAGGACGCCGCGCTCCTCTCTTCCAGCCGTGTCCAGCTGCGGGGAGGCGACGCCGTCGCGCGACCCAGCGACCCCGCAGCCCGGCTCTCCGTACGCCCCGGACCGCGCCTGCCGCCCCGGAGCGAGCTCGCAGCATGGGCTGCCTGGGCAGCAGCAAGACGGCCGAGGACACGGGCGTGGACGAGAAGGAGCGGCGCGAGGCCAACAAGAAGATCGAGAAGCAGCTGCAGAAGGAGCGCCTGGCGTACAAGGCCACGCACCGCCTGCTGCTGCTGGGTAAGGGGGCGCCGACCCCCAGACCCGGACCCGAGCCGGACGGGACCCGGACCAAAGGACCCGGCGCCGGCGCGCGGGCCCAGCAGAGTCCGGGCCGGGCCGCGCGCGGAGGGACTGCCGCGCGGGGAGCACACGGTGACCCCATCTGTTTGTTTGCTCCTAGGGGCTGGCGAGTCCGGGAAAAGCACGATCGTCAAACAGATGAGGATCCTGCACGTCAACGGATTCAATCCCGAGTAAGGACGCTCGGGGCGGGCGCGCTCTGCGAGTCTGACCCGCTGAGCACAGGGCGAGGGGAAACGCGCGTTTGCTGTCGATTTGGCCTATTTAGCACGTCCTGGCGCTGTTCAGTTAAAAAGTGGCTTGCCTAACAAAATACGATCTATTGGGTGTTCTCGGGGTCTGGAGTTGCCCCCCAGGGCTCCACCCAGGGCCTTCGTCCTCTCCGGGCGTCTGAGGACCCCAGCGGGTACCAAACCCCAGGCAGCCGGAGTCCCTTCCTTATATAAAACGGCAGAGTCCCTACCCTTTGGCATCCGTCAGATCACCTCCCCACGCTCTGTGACACCAACCTCACGTAAAGGGCTGTAATGCTGCACTGTGCAGGAAACGATGGTCAGAAAAACATCCACACAGTTCGGTACACATTCAGGTTTTCCAGATTTTCTAACCTAATCGGCGGTACACACCTAGTGGCCAGCTGAGTGTCCATGAACCCTTCTCTAGTGTGGCTTGCTCACTCCTGTTTCAGTCTATGACTGCCGATACCCGGGTAGATTAAGCATGACTGCATAGGTGTATTTATGTGCCACATCTACAACATCTTCACCACATTTTTGTGTGAGCTGCATGATTCTTTAAGCTGGTGAGTGCATTTGAGTTTGTCTGGCGTCCAGATTAGAAGAGGGGAATGTTTTCGTTTCCTGGGGGAAATATTTGCAAATATCCACTAGTGAAACTAGTCTGCCCCCAGCCTCACTGGAAATTTAAAATCCCATTCCAATGATTCTAATCAGTGCTAAGGGTGAGTTAAATTAATAACAATTCTCTTGCTGCACAGGGAAAAGAAACAGAAAATTCTGGACATCCGAAAAAATGTCAAAGATGCTATTGTGGTAAGGACTTTTTCTTAAATGTTTGTTGAACAGAAAGCTTAAATGCTGTGCTCTGAAACCTTCGAGCAGAAATGATGTGTTTCAGGCAGTCACACACGGGCCCTATAGCTTACATTTCTCTGTATTTTTCACCCCTTCTTAGACGATCGTCTCAGCAATGAGCACTATAATCCCTCCAGTCCCACTGGCCAACCCCGAAAATCAGTTCCGGTCCGATTACATCAAGAGCATAGCCCCCATCACTGACTTTGAATATTCCCAGGTAAGTGACTCTTTGCTGAAATGTTTTGAAAGGTGAAAGACAGAACCATTGTTATGCTGTTGCTAGCGAATCAGCATTAATATTAGTTCATTGACTCTTCAAACGCTAGCTCTCTGGATGTCCCCTCTGCAGGAAAATGTCTGTGTTTGTGGTGACGGATAAACGGGAGGGCAGATGTCACTGGTGCTTTCTCCTGCGTGTTGTGTTTGAGCGGTGTAGCTGAGTCCCAGATCACACTGGTGGGGACACAGCTGCCTCTGTGGTGATACCAGGGCCCAGGACTCAGGAGCTGAGTTAGAGCCTAGGCACAGTGTCAAGTGCCTGGGACGAGGGTGTGCAGCGCCGGACAGCAGGACCCGGTCCACTTTGCTGCATTGTGTTCTGGGTCCGAGTGCAGTTCAGTCCACACCGCCTTCCTGTGGGCAGATCCACATCACTGGTGTGGTGGTGCCGCTTCTGTGAAAGGTGATGTCGCTGTTGGTTTTGTCTTGTCGGGCGAATTTATATTTCTTAAAAATGCTGTCATCTGGTAATTGGCAAAGCAGGTTTTAAAGGAAAATGGCGTTAAATCTCTCGGAAAGCGGTTTCTGTTAGAGTCCTAGCCAGAGTTTGTGTAGACCCAGTGGGACTTTGGAGTCTGGGCTGCCTGGCATGGTGGTTTGAGACATGTTTGTTCTCAGACTCCCTCTTCCAAGGGAAGCTGGTGCCAAAACCATTGTGCAGGGTGAGGGCCAAGGTGCCCCACCGGTCCCCCCATTCTGCAGAGTGCTGGCGTGCCATGGCCTCTGTGTCCGAATGCCTGATAAGAATTACTTACTTTAAAGCTTCTTTCCCATCTTTAGTGTGACTTGTGCTTCCTGTAGGCAGTGTTCTTGCCCCAGGTGGCCAGTGACACCTGAGAGCCCGGAAAGGAGGCAGGTGGCACCTGGTGGGGGGTCTTCCCCTGGCAGCTGAGAGGGGTGAGGAGAGGCAGGGGCAGGGCAGCCACACCAAGAGGTCTCCTGGGAACCGGGGGTAGCCACGGGTCATCTTCCCGGCTCCCAGGAGCGTCTCGGGCCCTGGAAAGATCTCCAGAGCCACCCAGTCCAGTCTGGGGCAATCAGGAGTGCATTCACACTCCTCTTCGGTATGACCGTCTGGACACCCGCCGTCTCGTGCTCACCTCGCTGATGCCGCGTTTGCCTGAGCTAACCTAGTCACTCAGCTCTTGGGGGAAGGGTATCTGTGCAAAGGGTGAGAAACTAAGATTTATTCCCCAGTCCCGTGCCTTCCTTCTGTTTCTGAAACTCATGGGGGATGGGATCCCGTGTTCAACCCTAAATTGAGAAACTGTCGGCAACTCGCGTGCATCACCTAAGGGGCGTTCCTAAGCCACACGTCAGAGCCGTTGGGCTAAACCGTCCATACTCTTCAAGTATTTGGACATGAGCTCCAGGAAGAGGGGGTGCGGCTTGGGAATTGCCCACCAGCTCCCCGGGGTGAGGGTGAGGCTGTCTTCACACAGGTCTGCCGGGGCTGCCGTCTGTTACATGTCCACATGCACAAGGGAATGAATATGCTTTACCACAGCCAAGAGTTGTGTGAATGAAGAAACTGCTGTCAGGTGTGCAATATTCCTTTGGAAAAATGCTACTTTCTATTGCACTATGCACACAACTTTCCGTGGCATTTATCCCATAGTGCTTGAAAATAGTCACAGTATTTATCTTACCAAATTGTGTGGTGTTTAGAGCCAGGTTTGAGGATCCCACCCAGGAATACCATCGAGGCGGATCTCTGGCATAGAGACCGTTAACACTGGGTACGTGTGGAGAAGACAACTTTTGCTGAAAGGAATGCATTTTTTGCGAACATCATAAAAGTAGAACTAAGTCCAGCATTTTAGTAGTTAACACGAAGCCACTATATCCAGTACTTTTTTGAGACTGAACCCTTAAGGTGTCAGTGTCAAAAGCCAAGACTCGAGGTTCTTGAGTTTATTTTCCTGCAGGTATAAAATGACTTGCTGTTTTATGCTGTGGTGCTAGAGATCGAACCCAGGCCTCCTACGTGCCAGCCAAGTGCCCCACCACTGAGCCACACCCCCGCCCCAGTAAAAAACTCTTTTGGACCAAATATATCATTAAAAATTAACCTCAAGATGGGTGGTGGGTCAGGGGTAGAGCTCACGTTAAAATGAGTGGGCCTGGGTTTCAGCCAACTTGTTCAAGTGAAGAATCAGAGGAATAGCTTCCTGGAAATACCCTCAGAGTATCGCCCTTAGGGTAGATACCAGGTGGATTTACTTTGGTTCTTTTGTGCTCTGTATGGCCCTTCCTTGGATTTCTTCCGGGCTGTCTGAACTTAAGTCCTCACAGGCGGCAGGGGTATTTAGGGTCCGGTGGAAGAGCTGAGCCGGGTCTTGGCCGGGGCAGGGCTGAGGTACACGGCCTCAGGAGGTGCTGCAAGCCAGTTGCGTGCTACGGCTGTGTCTGTCAAGGTCAGGGCTGTGGTGGTGACCCAGATGGAGACACAGGGTGGGGCCTGAGTGCAGATCTGTCTGGGACAGGAGCTGCTGGGGTCTGATGCGGGCGTGGGGCGAAGTGGAGAAACCAAGACTGCACAGGGTTCTGCCAGATCTCTGCGGGTTGCAGGGAGGGCTGGGCAGAGGCAGGTGTGAATCTGTTTCCTGGGTGGGCGGGAGATGCGTGCGGACCCTCGTTGTGTGGGTTTGGGGCGCACGGAGAGAGTGAGGTCCTCTGCCCGGGGTGGGCGGGTACAGCCATCAGAAAGGGAGATTCTGGAGCCAGCGAGAGGCCAGCCCGTGAGGTCCGGAGGCCCGAGGAGAGCTGTGCAGAGGGAGGGATCAGCAAACCCTGGGCTTCGCAGCTTGAAGGCCAGGGGCCATGCTGAGGTGCGGATGGCATGACAGCCGGCAGATGCAGTGTGGGGCCCGGGGCAGAGGCCAGGGACACGGGATGCAGGAGATGCACAGGCCAGGCCGACCAGGTGCCTCTGTGGTGTGTGGGACAGGAGAGGTGTGGCGTGGCCTGAGTGCACCTGGAGAGTCCCTGGGGACAGCCAGAGAACCGGCCCTGCAGGAGCCGGGCAGGTGTGCTGCAGGGGCAGTCAGGCCACAGACAAAGCTTGCAGAAGAGGGTGGGCGGCTGGGGGTGCACAGCCTGGGGGAGCAGCGATGCCTTGCATCGGGTTCTCAAGAGTCCGAGCCCCAGGCAAGTCATCCCTTCGCCCACTACTGGGGTGAAGGGGGCCTCACACTCGACCCAGAGACAAAGCCCTGTGTCCCCACAACTGGGGATGGAACATCTGCTGTCAGTGAGGGGCCGAGGCTATGTAGGGTGTCAGACTTCAGTTTCCAGGGGAGTGAATCCCGAAGTCCCTGCTAGGCGTGAACTGCGATAGGCAGGAAGGCTGCTGATCCTAGCCACAGAGGGTAGACTGCCCTGGCTGTTGTTTCTGTTCCCGAGGAATTATCCAGACTTCCGGCCACTTGCCCTGGAGCCCTGCATGTGCGGCTCTTTGTCTGCAGTCAAATCACTTCGCATTCAGGAAGTGATGAGAAAAAAACTGGTCTTTAGTGACAGTCACGATAGAGCTTAGATCCACTGACCATTTACAGAGTAGCAAAAATGATGAGCTGCCTCCACTGCCTCCCCGGAGAACACTTTAATGCACCACTAGGCAAGATCATTCTTGGGGTGATCAAGTTATTCATTTGCTTGGTTTTTCTTTTTCAAACCTGGGTACTGTGTCAGCTCTTGTTAAACTGTGCCGTTAGATTTCTGTAGGGGGAAGAGGACAAACGGGTGTGAAGAGGAGATTGTAAGGCGGACTGGCTGCGATCAGCACTCCGGGTGAGTGCCCGAGCACCCTGCGTTGGCATCTTCTCGGAACCCCACACGGGCACAGACCCGGAGAGCCGAGAGTGCCCCGCCAGGTGTGAGCTGAGCAGAGCTGCGCCACCAGCACTGACGTGGGCCGCTCGGCTCCTGCCCTTGTGTAGTGAGTGACCTTGGGCCGTGAGGGGTCCCTGTGGGTATCCGAGCAAGTCAGGTGCCAGCCGGGCCCTGGGTGGTGCCCTGTCTTCATAGGCACAGGCCCAGGATTTCCGGAACACACGTGGCTCGTCCAGGTAGGGGTTTCCTTTGTTGATTCTGTAAGTCAGCCAGCCAGAATCCTGCTCTGTAGATCGGGGATGAGGGGTCCCTCTTTGGGCCCCCTTGAGCATCCCACAGTCCCCACAGCCCCTGGGAAAATGACGCTGCCGTGTCCACTCCCAGAGGAGCAGTGGACGGATCAGCCTCCCTTCCTGCCCCAGGTCGGCCAAACTGAAAACACACCCAGTGCCAGGCAGCCCAGACAGATGGGTCCCTGTCAGCAGGACCCAGGGTCCACAAGTCCAGAGACAGAAGGTCACACGCTGTTGAAGAAAACGAGGTTTCCGTGCGTGCCACAAAATAGTAGCTGAAGCTTTAACTCCAGGCGGGATGGACATTCATCTCCCAGGCACACCATGCTTTGCCTGTTGAGCTCATGAGGTGGGCGCTGAATTAAAAGTGCAGGAAACGTGGGTGGAGCTCGGAGGTGCACCATGAGCCCGCTGTGCCCAAGGCCCTGGGTTCCATCCCCAGATCTGAGGGACAGAGAGACAGAGGCAGAGGCGAGAGAAAGAAGCCGCAGAGCAGGTCACAGCAGGAAGCAGCCGTGCTGCTTTCCACGTGGTGTGAAAGGGAACAGGGTCACATCACTAGAGGACACTGTGGGCCTGCCTGCCCCATGCTGGGCCCTGAGCCACCATGTGGGAGGAGCCTCTGCCCAGAGCAGAGCCAGGGGACCGCCCTGGGCTCGGCGCGGCCTCCACACACAGGGAGGCTGAGGCAGGGTGCCCCAGGTAGGAGGCAGACAGGCGCTCTGAGAATCCTCCTAGGACTCTGAGTGTGTGACAGCACAGGGATGGGTCTGCAGAGGTGGGACCCAACTGCCCCTTCCCAGGGCTTCCC